ATGAACATCCATTTGAAACAAATGCCAACCCAGTACAGCAGTCACAACAAAAAAAACATATAATAGTAGTAAACTTGGCCACAAAAAAAAAAAGTTTCCAAGTAATCTAACCCTTCTTGTTGTGTGTATCCCTTAACAACAAGCCTGGCTTTGTACCTTTCAACAAAACTATCTGTTTTATATTTGATTTTATAAACTCATTTACAACCTATGGGTCGTTTAGTCCAAGTATTGTTTGATTCAAGAGCTTTAATCTCAGCTTGCATAGCCTCACACCACTCAGGAAGTTTAACACCTCATGAAAAAACTGAGGTTCTTGTTGACATGAAATAGTAAGACTAAAAACTCTGTGAGAAGGGGATAATTTGTGATACGACAAAAGTTGAGAACTAGGAGGTTTCCTAGTTTTGGGTGACTGTCTAGAAGTACTGGAAGTAGAGATAGGAAAAGAAGAAGGAATATCAATAAAACAAGGATCTAGGACAACAATGAAATCTGGTGCTGAGACAGAAGTAGGTGTTGGGACGGGAGAAGGACTAGGATCAAACACTAAGGATGGTAAAACCACTAAATCTAGTCCAGAAGTAGGTGGTGTTATGTTGCTGCAAGAAAAAGGAAGATATTTTTCATAGAAAATGACATCTCTGGAAATGAATACAGAATTAATGGTGAGATCAAACAATTTGTAGGCTTTGCTAGTTGAGGCATAACCAATGAAAACACACTACTTGGCTCTAGAATCAAATTTGGATATGNAGAATTAATGGTGAGATCAAACAATTTGTAGGCTTTGCTAGTTGAGGCATAACCAATGAAAACACACTACTTGGCTCTAGAATCAAATTTGGATATGTGTTGCTTTAGTGTGGAAGCATAACACAAACAACCAAAAACTCTTAAATGAAAGAGAAGGTGGGTGCGAAAAGAGGACTTCAAGAGGTGACTTCCCAAAGAGAAGAGGTGTGGGGAGTCTATTGANTGTGTTGCTTTAGTGTGGAAGCATAACACAAACAACCAAAAACTCTTAAATGAAAGTAAGAAGGTGGGTGCGAAAAGAGGACTTCAAGAGGTGACTTCCCAAAGAGAAGAGGTGTGGGGAGTCTATTAATAAGATAAGCAGCAGTTAAAACACAATCTTCCCAAAAAAGAAAGTGGAAGATTAGCTTGAAATCAAACTGCCCTTGCCACTTTTAAAAGATGCAGATGCTTTTTCTCTCCACAACCCCATTTTGTTGTGGAGTGTCAACACAGCTTCATTGATGAATTATTCCTTTAGAGGCAAAGAAAGAAGACATAACAAACTCTTTCCCATTGTCAAATCTAATAATCTAGAGTTGAAACTACAAAATGAATGTTGGTATAACGGCTTAACACAACCTTCTCCTTCTATTTGGACCTATGCCAAAGCCACTCTTTTGTTTTTGTTCTGCACCTATCTATTCCAATCTTATTATTGACATTATAACTACTTAATTTGAATGTCCAAAAATTTATATTGGTTTGAACATCAAGGGTGAAAAGTGGACCATAGAGGAGCTAGAGCAAACGGCTGAAGCAATAGGATATGGGGCAATTAAGTAAGTTCGTGCACATTTTGATGCTTGTACTTGGTTATTGTTTTTTCATGCCATTAGCAAGAGAACCAAGATAAGATGGCAAAGTGGAATAAACATCCAGCACCATTATGACATCTCTCCTACTTATTTGCTTCATTGTACACCTGAAAAACCCCCAATTTGATATATTAATACTATGATTCAACTNCACCATTATGACATCTCTCCTACTTATTTGCTTCATTGTACACCTGAAAAACCCCAATTTGATATATTAATACTATGATTCAACTGGGATCCGCCCTGAATAAAGGACACGGCTCTTGTGTTATCTGGTGATGATCTGTGATGCCTCTGTGTGTCTACTAACAGCAGAAGTCTATTAGTTTGTGTTTGGTTTACGGTTTTGGGGTTGGATTTTGGTGGTTCTGTGAATGTATTCTCAAATACTTGTTGGAGAAGAATGCAGCTACAGATTATATTGAAGTATGCAGCTACAGATTACAGCTGAAGAGCACAGTGAAGCAACATAGTGTAGCATACAGATTATATTGTGCATCTGTAAGTATAGGAGAAAAATCAGAGTTAGTTAGGCAAGAGATGAGCTAGCAGTTAGTTAGACATTTGTTAGAAGGTTGTTATTTATCTTTCCATGTAATGAGGACTATGGCAGTGTGGATTGTATATATATATATAGGTGATGTAATTGTTCATGATAATTCAATGAGAACAATTCTTGTCTCTAATTCTGAAACTTCTTTTCTTCTTCTTCAAGTCTCTCCTTCTTCACTTCTTAACATGGTATCATAGCTTTACAAGCTTCCTTTGTAATTTTTCTTTTCTTCATTGGCGTCTGATTCAGTTGTATCACAGAATGCTACATCTTCAGTCTCGATTAAGGATTTCTCTCATCCCTTTCACCTTCATCATGGAGATAGTCCAGGTGCTTTTTATTGGTTTCTCAACCTTTAATAGGAGAAAACTATAATTCTTAGAGTAGATCTATGTTCATGGCCTTGAGTGCTAAGACCAAGATTACTTTCATCGATGGCACTTCTACGAAGCCTACTAATTCAACTGATCCTTTTATATCATTTGTGTATCCGATGCAATAACATGGTGATATCTTGGATTTCGAAAACGTTATTGAAGGAGATAGCACAGAGTGTTCTCTATGTCAATTATGTAAAGGAAATTTGGGAAGAACTGAAGGAGAGGTTTAATTTTCACAAACCAATGGACCAAAGATGTACCAGTTGTAGAAATCTATTTCTTTTCTTCGACAAGAGCAACTTTTTGTAAGCTCTTACTATACTCAGCTCAAAGGTTTTTGGGATGAATTGATCAATTACAGGCCTTTACTAGTTTGGACATGTGATGCTTTGAAGACATTGGTTCAATTTCAACAGTAGGATTAAGTAATTCATTTCTTAATGGGATTGAATGACTCTTTTTCCAACATTTGCAGTCATATTTTACTACAAGATCTTATACCTCCAATCAACGAAGTCTTTTCTCTTATTTTGCAAGAAGAAAGACAAAAGAAGGATTGTTTTCTCTGCAATGCCTACTGTGGATTCTACTGCTCAAATCAACAGAGTTTTGGGAAATCAAATCCTAATAAGTCTCAACCTATTTGCACTCATTGTGGTATGCGAGGTCATATTGTGGATAAGTGTTACAAACTCCATTACTATCCTCCAGGTTTTTGTCTTTCCAGAGGGAAAAACAACTCCAAGACTACAAATCAGGTGTCTAGTGATGGACAGATTGACATGAGGAGTTTAGTTCCACATGGTAAAACCAAAGAAATTTCTTCATCTTTGCCAATTACTCGAGAGCAAATCCAGCAGTTACTCAGTTTGCTACAAACTCAGAATTCATCTCCAGCGTCAGCCAATCAAGTCATCAATCCTCATTCTGACCCCTTTTTCAATGTGACAGGTAAGGATTCTCCTTCATGTTCTGTGTTAAACACTTTTTGACAACATGATTCTTCATCTCGTCCATGAATCAATGATACTAGAGCAACAGATCACATAGTATATTCAGTCTCCTTTTTATCCATAGTTTCTTCAACTGATAACATCTCAGCATAGTTATTAGTATCGTACGATACGTCACGATACACCTGAAAAATGATACGTATTATGTCTCTGTATCATTTTTGCACCATATTGTACGATACATTCGATACGTGAAGATTCTATTTTTTTACTTTTTATTTTTATTTTTTGGGACTGAAATGATATTGTTTTACCCTATGAATAATTTTTTTTATAGTATACAAATAAAATAAAGTAAAGAGACGTCAAGAAGCATTCTTTCATCAAGTATAGAAAGTGCCCAATGCCCTATCCAGCACACTTCCAATGTTCAGTTTGAAAGAAATGACGGCGGATAGAACCATAGAGAGAAGTGAAAGATACTTCCCGACAAAAGAATTCAGTTTGGCCTCTGAATATCTTTGTATTCAAGTGCACAACAAATGTAAGCATAAAAACAACCATCGACCCTACAATGAAGTGAGACCCATCACCAAGCCTTGCGCCTTTGAAGATGTTCAAAATTTATAAAAACAAAATCACTCGTCATCCTCAGTTTTTTGATCAATGTGCATACAAAATGTGCTATGATGCCTATGCATGGTTATTAATGATTAAGAAATATCGTACAAAAATAGAGTAACTTTTTTTTTCAAAGTCGTGATAGAATTTCAGATGAGAAAAAAGGATGTGTGTGTATAAGATATTCAATGTAGCTATGAGATCTCCAATGGCTTGATCACTAGCAATGTCCCTGTTGGGAAACTTTTCAAACAGGTACTCAATTAATATGCCAAACTGCAAACCATATTTAACATCTTTAGGCTAAATGACCTAATGAGAAGCAGGAAAATTTATTTTTATGGAAGACATCATCCTACATCTCCAAAAAGATGGACAATAGGTTACACATCGATAATTATCAAGGCACGTAGAATCCAGGTTTAACCATAGTCTGATAAATCATGAGTATAGTAGCAAGGATTCTAGAAAGTAAAATTCGATATTGTAAGTGCAAATCGACGTTCCTAATATGAAAGTGAAAGTGCAGCGAAAGCTGGCCCTAAACAGAATCCGAAGATATTTAAGTCCAGTTCCAATCTTGTTATAAAAGTGAAGTTTCATCGTCGAAAGTGTCTTTTAGTGCGGTCTTCTTTTCTCTTTTGAGTCAGGTTCTTAAGACCCAACAGAAAATCGGATTTTCTGAATATCTAGACATTTTTGCCCATCATATCTACCTGTGTGCCCCAGTCACCAACATAATTTCTCCTAAGGACCTCAACATTTGAAAACTCAAGCATACGGACTAGAGTTTCCCCATTACAGTAGATCTTAAGTGACCAACGTGCATCTCTTTTGCTATGTTAGGTGAGGAAAAGTCGACCACTGCCCTCTTTTGCTATGGTATCGGAACCACTGCCCAGGTTCCGATACCATCTATTAGCATCTTTTGGATGCTCTGCAGCAGGAACAATAACATCGTAGTAAAAAGACACCCAAGTTAGATGAGATAAAAAAACACTCCACTATGAATCAAAGTTAAAATGTGCAACACCTCTGCTGCTATGCATTGCCTCGACAATACCACATTCACAAATCCAGGTCCAGCTACACTGCATGATTCTATCATTTCTGATGCAGGAAGATTTGTCACAATGGCCTATAAATTCGAAGAAATCCAGAAATATGATATGTATCAATATAGAGCCTCATTCAGAAATCATAAGATCCATGATTAAATTCTCAGCAAAAAGAAATACAATGTAAAGGCTATGCAACCATCAGAGTCAATACCTGCCCAATAGCTTGGGGACCCTTGAACTTAGAACCTTTTCCTTTAATTTTTGTCCATAAGCCCATGGCAATGTTGCTGTTCAAAAAGAAAGAGCTTTTATAATAACAACTTGCTGTGCTAGAAAAGCTTGCGACACATAATGCTCAACAACTCCAAGTCTTCAGTTCAGATACATATTTCCACAGACCAGCTTGCATTGTGGAACACACGAATGTTCAAGAAAAAAATTTATGCAAAACAAAGCCATACCATTGGTAATCACCGAATTTTGGATTGCAAGCAGCAATCAAAGGCTCAACATCCAACTCCTCAGGGACGGTGGCTCTAGACGATTCATTAAATAGTTTAGCTAATTGTTGCTTAAGACTACCCACATTTTCCTGTCCCACAAAACATCAATTGTAAAGTCAACTCAACTGAGTTAAAGACATATACACCAAAAAAGGCAGACAAAAACATACTGTCTTTCCCTCAATTCTTTTGGACCCCAAATATCTTTTTTCAGTAAGAAAAAATCTACCACAGAAATATTGAAATGCAATGAATAAGTTGACCAAACCATACTCTAGAGTTTTGCACTGTATTACCTACATTGGCTACAACATGGGCAGCCAACTGCTTTCCTCTAAACACGAGTGTCCGTTATTAAATCCNTTTGTGTTTGGTTTACGGTTTTGGGGTTGGATTTTGGTGGTTCTGTGAATGTATTCTCAAATACTTGTTGGAGAAGAATGCAGCTACAGATTATATTGAAGTATGCAGCTACAGATTACAGCTGAAGAGCACAGTGAAGCAACATAGTGTAGCAGTACAGATTATATTGTGCATCTGTAAGTATAGGAGAAAAATCAGAGTTAGTTAGGCAAGAGATGAGCTAGCAGTTAGTTAGACATTTGTTAGAAGGTTGTTATTTATCTTTCCATGTAATGAGGACTATGGCAGTGTGGATTGTATATATATATATAGGTGATGTAATTGTTCATGATAATTCAATGAGAACAATTCTTGTCTCTAATTCTGAAACTTCTTTTCTTCTTCTTCAAGTCTCTCCTTCTTCACTTCTTAACATGGTATCATAGCTTTACAAGCTTCCTTTGTAATTTTTCTTTTCTTCATTGGCGTCTGATTCAGTTGTATCACAGAATGCTACATCTTCAGTCTCGATTAAGGATTTCTCTCATCCCTTTCACCTTCATCATGGAGATAGTCCAGGTGCTTTTTATTGGTTTCTCAACCTTTAATAGGAGAAAACTATAATTCTTAGAGTAGATCTATGTTCATGGCCTTGAGTGCTAAGACCAAGATTACTTTCATCGATGGCACTTCTACGAAGCCTACTAATTCAACTGATCCTTTTATATCATTTGTGTATCCGATGCAATAACATGGTGATATCTTGGATTTCGAAAACATTATTGAAGGAGATAGCACAGAGTGTTCTCTATGTCAATTATGTAAAGGAAATTTGGGAAGAACTGAAGGAGAGGTTTAATTTTCACAAACCAATGGACCAAAGATGTACCAGTTGTAGAAATCTATTTCTTTTCTTCGACAAGAGCAACTTTTTGTAAGCTCTTACTATACTCAGCTCAAAGGTTTTTGGGATGAATTGATCAATTACAGGCCTTTACTAGTTTGGACATGTGATGCTTTGAAGACATTGGTTCAATTTCAACAGTAGGATTAAGTAATTCATTTCTTAATGGGATTGAATGACTCTTTTTCCAACATTTGCAGTCATAGTTTACTACAAGATCTTATACCTCCAATCAACGAAGTCTTTTCTCTTATTTTGCAAGAAGAAAGACAAAAGAAGGATTGTTTTCTCTGCAATGCCTACTGTGGATTCTACTGCTCAAATCAACAGAGTTTTGGGAAATCAAATCCTAATAAGTCTCAACCTATTTGCACTCATTGTGGTATGCGAGGTCATATTGTGGATAAGTGTTACAAACTCCATTACTATCCTCCAGGTTTTTGTCTTTCCAGAGGGAAAAACAACTCCAAGACTACAAATCAGGTGTCTAGTGATGGACAGATTGACATGAGGAGTTTAGTTCCACATGGTAAAACCAAAGAAATTTCTTCATCTTTGCCAATTACTCGAGAGCAAATCCAGCAGTTACTCAGTTTGCTACAAACTCAGAATTCATCTCCAGCCTCAGCCAATCAAGTCATCAATCCTCATTCTGACCCCTTTTTCAATGTGACAGGTAAGGATTCTCCTTCATGTTCTGTGTTAAACACTTTTTGACAACATGATTCTTCATCTCGTCCATGAATCAATGATACTAGAGCAACAGATCACATAGTATATTCAGTCTCCTTTTTATCCATAGTTTCTTCAACTGATAACATCTCAGCATAGTTATTAGTATCGTACGATACGTCACGATACACCTGANCAGATCACATAGTCTATTCAGTCTCCTTTTTATCCATAGTTTCTTCAACTGATAACATCTCAGCATAGTTATTAGTATCGTACGATACGTCACGATACACCTGAAAAATGATACGTATTATGTCTCTGTATCATTTTTGCACCATATTGTACGATACAATACGATACATTCGATACGTGAAGATTCTATTTTTTTACTTTTTTTTTTGANGAAAAATGATACGTATTATGTCTCTGTATCATTTTTGCACCATATTGTACGATACATTCGATACGTGAAGATTCTATTTTTTTACTTTTTATTTTGATTTTTTGGGACTGAAATGATATTGTTTTACCCTATGAATAATTTTTTTTATAGTATACAAATAAAATAAAGTAAAGAGACGTCAAGATGCATTCTTTCATCAAGTATAGAAAGTGCCCAATGCCCTATCCAGCACACTTCCAATGTTCAGTTTGAAAGAAATGACGACNTGGGACTGAAATGATATTGTTTTACCCTATGAATAATTTTTTTTATAGTATACAAATAAAATAAAGTAAAGAGACGTCAAGAAGCATTCTTTCATCAAGTATAGAAAGTGCCCAATGCCCTATCCAGCACACTTCCAATGTTCAGTTTGAAAGAAATGACGGCGGATAGAACCATAGAGAGAAGTGAAAGATACTTCCCGACAAAAGAATTCAGTTTGGCCTCTGAATATCTTTGTATTCAAGTGCACAACAAATGTAAGCATAAAAACAACCATCGACCCTACAATGAAGTGAGACCCATCACCAAGCCTTGCGCCTTTGAAGATGTTCAAAATTTATAAAAACAAAATCACTCGTCATCCTCAGTTTTTTGATCAATGTGCATACAAAATGTGCTATGATGCCTATGCATGGTTATTAATGATTAAGAAATATCGTACAAAAATAGAGTAACTTTTTTTTTCAAAGTCGTGATAGAATTTCAGATGAGAAAAAAGGATGTGTGTGTATAAGATATTCAATGTAGCTATGAGATCTCCAATGGCTTGATCACTAGCAATGTCCCTGTTGGGAAACTTTTCAAACAGGTACTCAATTAATATGCCAAACTGCAAACCATATATAACATCTTTAGGCTAAATGACCTAATGAGAAGCAGGAAAATTTATTTTTATGGAAGACATCATCCTACATCACCAAAAAGATGGACAATAGGTTACACATCGATAATTATCAAGGCACGTAGAATCCAGGTTTAACCATAGTCTGATAAATCATGAGTATAGTAGCAAGGATTCCAGAAAGTAAAATTCGATATTGTAAGTGCAAATCGACGTTCCTAATATGAAATTGAAAGTGCAGCGAAAGCTGGCCCTAAACAGAATCTGAAGACANCAAAGGCTCAACATCCAACTCCTCAGGGACGGTGGCTCTAGACGATTCATTAAATAGTTTAGCTAATTGTTGCTTAAGACTACCCACATTTTCCTGTCCCACAAAACATCAATTGTAAAGTCAACTCAACTGAGTTAAAGACATATACACCAAAAAAGGCAGACAAAAACATACTGTCTTTCCCTCAATTCTTTTGGACCCCAAATATCTTTTTTCAGTAAGAAAAAATCTACCACAGAAATATTGAAATGCAATGAATAAGTTGACCAAACCATACTCTAGAGTTTTGCACTGTATTACCTACATTGGCTACAACATGGGCAGCCAACTGCTTTCCTCTAAACACGAGTGTCCGTTATTAAATCCCCAATCAAGGGCGGAGCTTGGATTTTTTTTTATCTCAGGTTAAACTAAGCATTCATATAACTAACAAAAAAACAAATGTTTTTCAATATATTATGTGGCCCAAAATTTTTTTTGGTTTTTAATGTNTACAACATGGGCAGCCAACTGCTTTCCTCTAAACACGAGTGTCCGTTATTAAATCCTCAATCAATCAAGGGCGGAGTTTGGATTTTTTTTTTATCTCAGGTTAAACTAAGCATTCATATAACTAACAAAAAAACAAATGTTTTTCAATATATTATGTGGCCCAAATTTTTTTTTTTTTTTAATGTTGACCCAAAAAATTTGTTTTTTAATTGTGGCCCAAAAATTTTGTTTTTAATGTTGAGCCAGAAATTTTATTTTTTTAATATTGGGTCAAAAGTTTTTGTAATAGGTTTGGATAGATTTTAATAAGTTTGGGTAGATAATATTGGGCTCAAATTTTTTTGTTTTAAATAAGTTTAATTTTTTAATTTTTTTGGATAAATAATGTGAGTTTAATATAAATGAGGGAGACACGCATAATATATTATATAAATATATAATACATATGCCTTACTAATTAATTTTATTTTTTTTTTGAGTGGGGAAACTTGCTCAACTTGGCCCAGCTGTCCCTCTGCCTTTGCGTAATCCGCTCTTTGTTCCGATCAAATGAAAAATTCTTTCTTTCCAGAATTATTGGGGCTTAAGCCTTAAGAGTTTTGAAAATTTTGGCTAATGATTAGTGATTTAATGAGTTAGTATTGATAGTTTTATATGAAAGTGATAATTTTTTTATTTTTTTTACTATNAATTTTTTAATTTTTTTGGATAAATAATGTGAGTTTAATATAAATGAGGGAGACACACATAATATATTATATAAATATATAATACATATGCCTTACTAATTAATTTTTTTTTTTTTTGAGTGGGAAACTTGCTCAACCTGGCCCAACTGTCTCTCTGTCTTTGCGTAATCCGCTCTTTGTTCCGATCAAATGAAAAATTCTTTCTTTCCAGGATTATTGGGGCTTAAGCCTTAAGAGTTTTGAAAAATTTGGCTAATGATTAGTGATTTAATGAGTTAGTATTGATAGTTTTATATGAAAGTGATAATTTTTTTATTTTTTTTACTCTGGGCTTCAGCCCACCAGAGACCACTAATGGCTCCGTCCCCGTCCCCAATTTTTGTGGAATTCTAACTTTGGTAATAAACAATCCATAACTAGTCTTGAATCATCCACTATTGAACATATCTCAAAACACAAGTGCATGCTCAGGGTACATCTACATCCATACCCATACATTCATGCACACATGCACAGGCATTCATATACACACAAATACATAAATACCGTTTGTGCAGGAGAATGTGTAAAAGGCATTGAACTCACTTACAGAAACCATGATCAACATGGACTGCGCCATTGCTGCTGGGAAAAATCTTCTAGATGGTGTTCTTCAAATATCTGTCTAGTTTCACAATTAACAAGNACCCATACATTCATGCACACATGCACAGGCATTCATATACACACAAATACATAAATACCGTTTGTGCAGGAGAATGTGTAAAAGGCATTGAACTCACTTACAGAAACCATGATCAATATGGACTGTGCCTTTGCTGCTGGGAAAAATCTTCTAGATGGTGTTCTTCAAATATCTGTCTAGTTTCACAATTAACAAGCTAAAACACCAAAAGCCCGGCCCAATATCAACTAAATAACGAAAGGCCAAAAATATTAAGAGAACAAGTAAAAAATGTATTTCCAACACCGCTTTCAAGGTGTCACTAAAAACAAATAGAATCATTTTAAAGTTTTAAATCATGCATCTTTAATGAAAAGATAAATGGCATCCACTGTTTTCATGCCAATCCAGAATCACTGCTGTTGCATTTAAAAGCTGATGGGACGTTTTCTCTGGGACGAGACACGTGCCCTCGTCATATTATCCGTAAAATATTTTTTGAACGACACTTATCCTCGACATCTTGTTCGTAGAGTATTCTCCGAATGTTTACAAAGTCCTCAACATCTTGTCTGTGGAATCCTAGGCATCTTGTTCACGGAATATTCTCTAAATGACATGCGTCTTTGACATCTTGTCTGCGGAATATTTTTTAGATGACATATGTCCTCAACATCTTATCCGTAGAGCACTCTCTACATGATATGTTGCTCTACATGATATGTTACCTCAGCGTCCAAACTTCCATGTGAGCAAAGCATGGATACGAGTTTTTGATAGTTATCGTGACTTGGAAGTAAAATGGATAGTCAATGATCGATTTTCCCTTTCTAAGACGGTCATAATGGCAAAAAAGATAGTCTAATAACAAATGGTAAAAATGTACAAAATATAAAGTTTTAAAATATTGGCCCCTTGGAAGAATGATAGACAAAAGTGCTCTAATGCATGTGCGGCCATAACTATATTACAATAAATGTTTTCCTCATAACAATAAGGAGTATTTATTGCTTGGTGGGCTTAGGAAACCCCAAGCATTAAATGTGGGAGTTTTCGTCACTGCACCACTGGCTGCCTTCCATATGAGCCAATAAGGAGTTTTCCCTTCAGGGGACCTATTTGTTCACAATGATTGACTTCATAGAGGTATAAATAGTTCTCTAAAATCCAAGTTTAAGGTAAACACATTCTTACCCAAGTAATAGAACAGTGTTTCCTACCTCCATCTCACATATTGACTTGAACGTTAGAGAGATCACGTCGAAAAGTACACCAACGCCCTTTTAACCTTTCTTTTTGAGTGGCAGGGTCTGTCTCGATAAGTCAAAATCATCCGGATACTTGAAAATATAATTTATCACCATTATTTATACCATCTCTCAAATCCGTTTGCTACGAAATTATCGACTTTCTAAGTAATCTCGAGTTGATAAGGGAGAGATTTGTCTATTCATTTTTTATGCGAAAATTCCTGCACACAAAAGCAATCAAGGCTATGTCTGGGCAACACAAAATCTACAACTTGGAACAGAGTCATTCTTAGCTCTAGTTTCAACCCATTTGTNGCTGTTGCATTTAAAAGCTGATGGGACGTTTTCTCTGGGACGAGACACGTGCCCTCATCATATTATCCGTAAAATATTTTTTGAACGATACTTGTCCTCGACATCTTGTTCGCAGAGTGTTCTCCGAATGTTTACGGAGTTCTCAACATCTTGTCTGTGGAATCCTAGGCGTCTTGTTCACGAAATATTCTCTAAATGACATGCGTTTTCGACATCTTGTCTACGAAATATTTTTTAGATGGCACGTGTCCTTAACATCTTATCCGTAGAGCACTCTCTACATGATATGTTACCTCAGCGTCCAAACTTCCATGTGAGTAGAGCATAGATACGAGTTTTTGATGGTTATCGTGACTTAGAAGTAAAATGGATAGTCAATGATTGATTTTCCCTTTCTAAGACGGTCATAATGGCAAAAAAGATAGTCTAATAACCAATGGTAAAAATGTAAAAAATATAAAGTTTTAAAATATTGACCCCTTGGAAGAATGATAGACAAAAATGCTATTACGCATGTGCGGCCATAACTAGATTACAATAAATGTTTTCCTCATAACAATAAGGAGTATTTATTGCTTGGTGGGCTTAGGAAACCCCAAGCATTAAACGTAGGAGTTTACGTCACTGCACCACTGGCTGCCTTCTAAACGAGCCAATGAGGAGTCTTCTCTTCAGGGACCTATTTGTTCACAATGATTGACTTCATAGAAGTATAAATAGTTCTCTAAAATCCAAGTTTAAGGTAAACACATTCTTACCCAAGTAATAGAACAGTGTTTCCTACCTCTATCTCACATACTGACTTGAACGTTAGAGAGATCACGTCGAAAAGTACACCAACGCCCTTCTAACCTTTCTTTTTGAGTGGCAGGGTCTGTCTCGATAAGTCAAAATCATCCGGATACTTGAAAATATAATTTATCACCACTATTTATACCATCTCTCAAATCCGTTTGCTACGGAATTATCGACTTTTTAAATAATCTCGAGTTGATAAGGGAGAGATTTGTCTATTCATTTTTTATGCGAAAATTTCTGCACACAAAAGCAATCAAGGCTATGTCTGGGCAACACAAAATCTACAACTTGGAACAGAGTCATTCTTAGTTCTAGTTTCAACCCATTTTTGCGCCAATTCCCATTGCAATGCCAGATTCCATGCTTCCAAACACAATGTAACAGTTTCTTTCAATAATTAGAAAATACCTTCATGTTTCTATCCAAACAGCGCCACATAGAACACACACACACGCCTCCGTAATTTTGCACCGTCACAAAACAGAAGGTCAAGATTCTTAAGCTCAAACAACGCAGCAACTCAAGTTTGANTGCGCCAATTCCCATTGCAATGCCAGATTCCATGCTTCCAAACACAATGTAACAGTTTCTTTCAATAATTAGAAAATACCTTCATGTTTCTATCCAAACAGCGCCACATAGAACACACACACATGCCTCCGTAATTTTGCACCGTCACAAAACAGAAGGTCAAGATTCTTAAGCTCAAACAACGCAGCAACTCAAGTTTAATCTTCACCGTAAACAATCAAACGCAGCAACTCAAATTTGTCTTCACCGTAAATAATCAATCTCAAAAGAAAGTGAAATGTAGAAATAAAATTTATAAACAATTAAGACATTGAACTCTGTGCCTGTATAATCATTCACACATACAAAGAATCATCATAAACAGGAAGAGTGGGAGGCTCTGGCTTGAAAATGAAGCAACTATAATGCAAATACGTATGGAGAGAGAGAGAGAGAGAGAGAGGAGGAGCTGAGTGGAAAAGAGAGAAACGATTGAGTCGGACAGAGAGAGATTGGGGAGGCGGGGAGACTGCCGGCGGAAGTAGAAGTGCGGTGCTCAATAGTCGGCGCGTGCGAAATTTATAAACCGTCTTGCCCAGGTTCGTTCTTTTTCACCGTTTCGGTCTTTCTTTTTCTCATCGCACACCATGAATAGTTGAAAAAATACTAACGTTTATATGAGATTGACACTTAATTTTTTTGAAAAGATAAAAAAAATTGAATGAAGGGTGGTTAATTAGTAAAATAGTGAAAAATAGTGTTTTATATATATATATATATATTAGTTGGTGCACACAGTTGATTATTTTAAATTATAATTTTTATGTTTTAGTTTTTCAATCAAATTTATGATGAAAAATAATATTTGAAACAAATGTGCAACATGTTGATCTTTTAATAAGTCAGCAATTATGTTTGTCGAGCTATCTTTTACTCTGTTGTGAAATGTAAAAAAATAATGTTTTGGTGCACATATAGGTTATACGTAAATGATTTACAATATTTCATAAATTATTTGAGACCCCTCATTAAATTCGTGTTGTCCACGGCTTGAAACTCGTCATTATTCAATTGAACATTAGCATGCATCAAATAAGAAAATAAAAAGATAAATGAATATAACTAAGTTAACTGAATTTATGAACAATTGAGATAAATTTATATTGGGAGCACACTATGCACAAAAAAGATGTTCTTATACTCCAACCCATTACAAAATTATCAGTTTATCAATTACTAACAGACTTGTAGCCTAGAGAGAGAAAAACATAAATAATGCAAGTGTTTTAGCAACTCATAGGGGACTCTTTGCTATTCCTTTAGTAGAGTAGATTGAGATTATAGCAAAAAATTAGTTATGAAGAGTTAACTAAATGAGAGTCTAGATTGAATGTCAAAAGGTCAATCATCAAGTATTCGAGTGTCCATTTTATAGTCACCCAAACAAACTGAAGAATAAATCAAACAATACAATAAGAATATTTATTGTTAATTACAAAATACGGAGAATAATAGATCAAGTTGTTGGTAGAACTCATTATATTTTGTTATACGACACATTCAAGTCTCAGGTTGTCGCTTACGAACCTTTGCATTGAACCTTTTTTTTATATTTATATCTTATCTTTCATCGACATAACTTTCGAGTTACTCTTGAATTTTTTCTACATTTTATGGCTTGATTTATTTTGTTGGTCTGCCCAAAATGCTTCACATTGACCAAAAAAAAAAAAAGGTAGTTTAATGGGTTTTTGTTTGCTTAATCTATGAAGCATCTAGATTCACCATATATAACAACTTCCCCTGATTTAGCAAAATAGAGGCGGTCATTTGAGAATGTCGACAAAAAGTATATGCAATATGCAAACCACACATCAACTGCCAATGATGTAATTGTGTGCACAAGTGAGGAGTTTAGATATTTTGTACCGCCTACTCACTACGAGGAGGTAATACCTACAACATGAGAACAATATTAAAAAAGAACATGAGTGACACAACTACAGTGGTATTTGGATGTGGTGCTAAAACATGTTCAGAAATGTCTAAAAAAATAATAACCAGTTTACTCACCATTAATGG